ACGGTTTGTTTACCTTACGAGAAATAAGAATACACTCAGTTTTTGCTGGGTTTAAATTTACAAGCCAGTCATTAGCCCATTTCAAAACTTTACAGAGGTCTGAAATAAAATATTAACAGATGCGCGTGGCTCATCGACAATAGTATCATCAGCAAAGAGTCGAATGGTTGAATTTATTTCCTCAACAATGTAATTAATATATACAAGAAACAGAAGAGGACCAAGAATAGAGCCCTGTGAAACACCGGAACATATTTGTAGGACTTAAAAATACGTACCGAAAAGTACAACACGCAAAAAGATAATCCTGAAACCAGCTAAAAAGAACATCAGATAAGCCATTTCCTTTAAGTTTATGAATGAGACCACGGTGTCAGACGCGTCAAATGCTATGGAAATAGCGCAAATGATAGCACGGACTTCTTTTCCTTCGTCTAAAGCTTGACAACATGTATGATAGATTAAAACTAGTTAATTGGTTGTTGAATCGTTCTTTACTAATCCAGATTGTAAAGGTGTTATGTTATTAGATTTGAAGAAATTAAAGACGTGTTTGTGAATTATACGTTCTAGCACTTTGCTGATTGTACTTTGTAAAGAGATCGGCCTATAATTAGAGGCAATAGTGGGATCGTTCTTCTTAAAAATAGCACAGATATTTGTCAGTTTCAATTGAGATTGGACCTTACCAGATTCTATTGATTCATTAAAAAGATGAGAAAGTGGAAGTGCCAATTGTTGAGATAGTTCTTTTAGTATTCTGTTGTTGATCATGTCGGGACCTGCTGCCTTTCTTAATATTAATGACTTTAATGTATCTATAATTTCCTGCTGTGTGATAACTATTTTTTCTAACTGTGGTTTAATTGAATGTAAATGCATGTTGAGGATTATTTTATTGGAATTATTTAGTAATGTCTGTGAATGAAAGAATTTGTTCAGAAGGTTGGCTTTATATTATATTCGGAAGTTGAAATGTTTCAATTATCTTCTAATATTTGTAAACCCTTGTTTCTTGTCGAAGTTGATATATGTTGTTTTAATCTGAAGGTGGTAAATTTTCATTTTTATAGTCTGTCTGCAAGTTTCTGTTTTTGTTGCTGCTTTGTTTGTCAAAGTGACGTGGATGTTTTATTTCTTATCTGCCTGTAAAGTTGCCAGTGATGTGGAGTTTGTGTTTTTTTTGTGCATTGTAATATGCGCGTTTACGTTTTTTCATTTGTTTCCTTAATTCATTATGCATTCATCCATTGTGGTGATGATTGGCGTATTGTGACTACTATGTTAGGTATTATTTAGCTGCAATGAGATTGATTATGTCTGTTAATTGCTGTGTTTAGATGTATTTGTCATCATTATAAAATTGTATCTCATTGGAAAGAAGATATCTTCCTTCTCATACCTACATAAATACTTTATAATATAGCCATACTTTTCTTTTGAAATATTGCGAAGATGGTTTGGAGGAGTCAAGAATACAGAAAATAGGGCAGTGATATCTACAGACTTGGTCAAGAAAGGGGTCAGCGACGCCAGATACAGAAACTCTGCGGTTCATAAGTCATATCTTTTGTGCCGTATGGCGGCTGTAAAAAGTCTCCCCGTACATTTAATCAATGATGATATATTTTCGATCCTTGAAGATCGTTCAGCACGAGATCATTGTTGTGCTTGTGGTATTTTAATTTTCAACTTTTCGGCATTTTCTAGTTGGGTGGCTCCAATATTCCTACTTGAATAATGTCGAACTACCCTTTAGGATATGTTGTCTGCTTTTTAAGTTTGTCTTTTGACGTTATATCTGTAATATGCAGGCTTCATTACGTCAGATCCCCTTTCAAAATTCCATTTTATTTAGTTCAGCCAATTGTTTTCTCGTTTAGGGCACACGCATTTTTTTACTTGGGGACCATATGCCGCTTTTCATTGAATGGCACTAACGTGTCACATTGAAGGTTCCATGATAACCGCCATATTAACACATCTGCGGATGTTTCAAAATCTAAATTTTACCAGTTCATGTTAAATGTTGAATTCTGCTTAAGCCGGTGCTAGGGGACTTGGATGGTAATTTGCATTTTCCAGTACCGTCCATGAACAGGCTTAATCAAACCGAGCCTGCAACATTTTCAAATATGTCGTATAGGGCGTTCTTCAGGGATTCTGTATTTATCTCTTTTTCGAATTGCAGGGATAGTGTTTTTAACATAAACAAAAATAACACCATGATTGTCCGTACCTCTGTCATTTCGAAAGTGGGGAGAATAATTATGAAAATATAAGCAAGCTTTCTGTTATTGAGATAATATCAAACGGATCAAGTTCACCTTCCACGATATCCTTTCTTTTCAAGAAAAACTTTACACATTATCGTGCACACGTGATAATGTGTGAGAATAGTAGAAAAATATCCATTACAATTCTTAGAATAAACAATAAAAATATATGCAATGTACAATCATTGTTACTTAAAATAAATTTCTTTGTTCGAAATTGTGTGCAAAATCAATAAAAAGCTATAAGCTAACCTACCGTTTTTTCCACATCCCCTTTTCTAACCTCCTAAACTTACCTAAGCTAACTGTAGCTTAGTTGTGCTTTTATACAATGTTGCTTACCTTAACAAAGCTTAACTATGATGTGTTACCCTGATCGGTACTTGAACAAGAAAGTGTATTTTGTTTATGAATTAAAATATTTATTATCAGGTAGAATGATGTACAAAACATATTTTTATTAGTCTAAATTTATCTCTGCATCCTATTGACATAACAATTATGTATTGAAAGTTTACATTATTGGGAGTAAACTATTTTCTTTATTTTTCCTTTACATGATTTGTCATTACGTATCAGTTGACAAAATTTTCGGTTCTCATGGCCAAACTATTCCTGGTATTTTGGACACACATGTTAAAGCCTTCCCAGAATAAATATTTCTAGGTTAAGTTATAAAATATCGCAGTGTCATGTTGACAATTTCGTTTTATTTCAATATGGTACCAATGACAGGACTGGTTCACTTACTGTAGATGAAATTTTATCTTCTTTCAATGGTATACTTGCTGATGTACGTCAATATCATTATTGCTTTTTTTCTATTCTCCTTAGGCCCATGTTTTATGATGTAACATGCAATAGGGTCAATGTTCCCAATAAAAAATTACTTGGCTATGTAAGTATAGACATGCTTTATTTTTTTGGACATTCAAGTCCTTTCTGAGGTGTCGTATTCCTCGCCAGTAATACTTTGCTATTAAGGATTGAGGTTTACACTTGAATCTGCAGGGCACAAGGCGATTAAAAGAATCTTCTAGAACTACCGTTTCACATTTGAATTAAATGGCATTGGAAGTGCTTAACTTAATGTTGAAAAAAGTTTGTTTCAATTTTAAGATAAAATCACAATAGATATGGGCCCGTATTTAAAGCCTCTTCTTGTCATGGGTTTTTATAAACTTAAGATTTTGTATGATGATACTCTTGTTTTGACTTGGACATATTATTTTTCAGGATAGACTATACCTTGAACATATTTTTTTTTTCACAAAACAAAGTTTATTTGGATGAGCTCATGGGAAAAAAGTACTACATAATTTAAGAAAATATGAAAACTTACATCGGGTGAAATATGAATTTTGATTTAGACAACCAGTGATTAAGTAAAACTTTAAACTGGTAAATGAAAATTCTAACTGCAATTGAAATATAGAAGCTTTTAAATCGGTAGTGCCTTCCGCTTTTTATCAAAACATAGTACAATGCGTTCCAGAATAAAAAAGGAAATTCCAGATGTCCTTTTTCCGGGGGTCGACCTACAGACACTTTTTCAGCAACAAATTTACATGCAGAGAGAGAGATAGAGATAGGGGAATAATTCCCCTATCTTTTAAACCTCCGACGAAACGCATTGCACCTGTTCGTTCTGCGGATAATATTCTACTATTTTCTATATGGGTTTATTTCCTAAGGATAATGTTGGAATCGTTGCTCGGAGTTATTTGATGAATAGTCATAGAACAAAATATTTCTCTTACTTTTAAACGAGTCGATAATAATGCCTTATTAATAAATTGAAGACGACCAATACTTTTTTAAAATATGAAATAGGGCGGTTAAAACTAATGCAAAAATATCTGATAATTTTTTAGGTACATGCTTACATACTTTTGTTTGAGAATATATAGTAGAGAAAAAAAAAATCCTACAATATTAATTCACATAAAATAGATAAAATAATAATGGACTATATAAAATATGATGACATTTATCTATTAAATATGTCATCAAATTGTGAAGGACATAAATATGTTAATCAAATAACCCACACGTTTGGTTCTTTACTTAAAACTATAGGCATGTTTATCTTGATGCTATTGTTTATACTATATTAAACATGTAATGTAAAACATATTTTTATTTATTTTACACGTATGAATAAATCATTCAAAATATTGACGAAATGTAATGCGTTTTTATCATTTTCCGTATTTTGTCTGTATAAGCTTTCTTTTAATGCAGTATAGCCTATTTTCGTCAATATGCATATTACAAATAAATAAAAAGGGCTGTAATAGCTGCACTCATTTTAAAACAGAGGGAAGAAAATATTTGACTGAAAATTTATTATTTTCTATAATTACGCTATTTGCGCCGCGTCACGACAAAACCAACATAATGGGTTTGCGACCAGCATGGATCCAAACTAGCCTGCACATTCGCGCAGTCTGATCAGGATCCATGCTGTTCGCTTACAAACTCTTTAACAAGTACAGAAACTGATAGCGAACATCATGGATCCTGATCAGACTGCGCGGATGCGCAGGCTGGTCTGGATCCATGCTGGTCGCAAACCCATTATGTTGGTTTTGTCGTGACACGGCTCATTTATTTTCATTATGATTATTAATTTATTATATCTTATCCGTGTCTTCAACGACTGGTGAAATATTTATTTTCATTCTTCTCAATCAAGTAAATAGTAGGGAAAAAACAACTTAATCTCCTCTTTTCATTATATTCTTAAACATCCTTAATATTGCATACATAAATTAGATAATTATTTTTCCTGTTTTTAAACTTTCAGAATTTACTTTTTACTGCAGGAAAACTTATTCCCGTATTATCACTAGTGTCTTGCCAGACAACATTTTTCTGAAGTCAGCCACATCACAAAATTAAAGCATTGTCTTTCAAATTTTAAAAAGTCGAACATGAGAAAATGTATATAATAAACTGAATTTTTTCTCTCTAAATACATGATTAATCATGAAAGTTTTGATATTTCTCTCGTCGTGAAATATCTATTTTCATACTATAATTCCTGTATTTATAGAAAGAAACTTAACCATCACCTATTTAAATTGAATCATCTTTTATCTTCTATAGGTAGCGTATTAAAAAACAAATGAAAATGATTCCGTCGTCACTTATTTATTATTTTATTTTTAGTCCGATACATGTGTAATCCATTGTCCAAGATATGTTTGTTAATTGCTGAAAAATAAAACAACTAAAATAGAGAAGCAGCACTTGGTGAAATCTAGGTATGGTGTGATATCTTGTTGATTTTTTCTATTACATCAGTTTCTTCACATCAAAGATCCTTTATCTGAAAACAAATATTGAAACAACGGTTAATCGTTTTATAATACAACCTAGTTTAACTTCATCGTTTGTTTTATTGATCACAAGCATTTAAATGAAATAAAAAAATAAAGTAGCTTCATTTTTGTATGGATTTATAAAATGTAAAACCAGATTCTGTATTTATATATATATTAATATGTATTTATTTATTTATAAAAAGCTTAAACTTTTAACGTAAATAAGATAAATAAGAAAATAACTCCCATACGATGATTTCATAGCATATGTATTTCATTCATATAATTATACAAGGATTGTATAAAACATATCTTCCTTTCACTTTACCTGTACACTGACATTTGCCTAAAGTATTATTTCAATATTCTACAATAAAATGAAACAATAAGTGAAAATTCTTGCAACCTGCTGCATTAGCATAGTATAAAGGTGTCATAAATATAAAACATTAAGGGAATAGCTTTTATGCCTATTATAATAATTTACGATAGGATTTTTGTCTAATTATTCCAAGTATATTGAAAATTGCAGACAGACAAATAAAACATCTGATAATATTTGACATTAACAAAAGATATCTATTATACGACTTTGTATTGGGTATTTTCACGTTTTGAAACGGATTCAGCATTTTTGTAATCGCAGAATTAACCGAGTTTGACCCTTAGTCGATGAAAGGTTATTCAACATCTGCTCAATTAGAGTAGAAGAGAAAATCAGCCCAGACTGTTTGGGTTGAAATAGAAAATAGTCTCAGGGAAAAGTACATATGTGTTATGTAAAATGTGTAAGTTTAAGTGTGTACTAAACACTGAATGACATTGATTTGAACTAATAAGCAAAACACAACAAACAATGAAAAATGGCTACTGAATCTTCAAGAAAGAAGTACATAATTGTGATCTGAAAGTGCGTGGGAATTTGTTAATTAATCAGGTATATATAAACTCTCCATTTTCATGTTTTAAATACATTGATTATAATATTTTCCTTTCTGTAATTGTATTAAGCATCACATAATTATTACCTTTATTTCATAAGGCTTTAATAAAATGGTTCTTACCTATGGTTGTAGCTTAGGTACCTCTCTTTTATTTTCATGCAAATGTGTGCCATGGATTTTAATTAACGAATCATAACATCTTAAGTGTAATGATAAATTAAATTGTTGTAATTCAATTGCTCTAAACACATTATTATTTCAATTTTACATTTACTGTACCATACACAAACATTCTTTAAAATTAAACAAACGTAATAATTTTACGCATGTTATAAAACTTTATAAATTATTTTTAATATATTCTTATAAAGTTTATTGTTAATGGTTGTTTTTCTTGCATATAATATGATCCTTAAGTATAGGTTAAGGTTTATTTGTACGTATCAACAAAAAGAAATTGGTCCGGCGCGGCGCCAATTTATTTTTGTAAATACTTACTAATAAATTTTAACCGGCCGTTTCTATTATTTTTACAAACAGTCGATTTACTGGACTGAATAACAATTTGCCGATTTACCAAAGTAAATGTGTTACGATTCATTTGAAGTACTGCAATCCTATTGGACAAAAATAATTTCAAACACTAATTTTTTTTTATTCGTTCCAATTTGTCCATAAATAAAAAGTAACATATTAGAATTATTATTTATCCTTGCATTAAATTACATAAATAAAATTACATCTACTTGAAAACCGCTTTTTGTATGCCATATGATTTTATAAGACTCATATCACACACAAATCAGATTGAGTATATGATACATGCAAATGTTGTCAGTCTTAAAATGAGTGATAAGTTTCCAATAAAAGTTTGATCGTTTGAAACTATTGAATAAATGTTTGATTTATTTTATTTTATTATATTAAAGCAAGTAAAGAATTTGATGACGAAAAAATGCAATGAAATTGTTCATTTTATTTTACAGATTACAGAAGAAAGAAAAAGGGATTTGACATAAAACAATCAATTGGACGTATAATGGATATTAATATAAAACGGCGTCACATAAGGAGTAGCAAAAAATATAATGTTTGTTTTGACAAGTGATGCATCGGAAAAACCGCGAACACTTCTAAATGCGCGATGAAGACATCAGGCATAACATTTAGCATTGACGTTGCTGAAGTGATTTTAGTATTCTCAATTTATCATGTTTCAACTAACGTTGTTTTTAATTTGATTCCGGAAAATGTATAAATATTATGATTTGTTTAAAGGTGCTTTCAGTTTTGTGTAATATAATATTGCGCCATATTTTAATATTTAATAGTAATTGATTTCTAAGGCATATTGTGTCATAAACTTCTGTTTTTTTTCCATAATCTTTGATACTTAAACTTAAAGTCACGTCATGCCTCACAATACTGTTAGTTTCATTTCTCCAACATTTTTTGGGTAGCTTGTAAGATTTCTTAAAAATAGTGCTCACTTATTTTCCATATAGAACAATTTTGCGATTGATAAAGTTATTGTGAATAAGTTTTCGTATGGAAGTCAAAATATTTACTTTGTTTACATTTCCCTGCCTTTATGACACATTACTGCACATCAAACCATACTTTCCTCATCATGCTCTAAATCTATGATTTAAACATTATTGAACACATGTTTGACATATCTAAAGAATTTAATAATTATGGATTTCAGAGACATATTGGCCTTTAACCTTTTTAAAATTTTGATACTAGCGTTAAACACCCGATATCTTTCTTTGAAACACATTTTTTCCTTAACATGTTTCAATGTTCAAATTGATTTTTATATGTGATTTTCGATAATCAGTTATAAAATTAGATATGTGATCAGACTTCTCCATAAATAATTTATTAGTTATTTTAATTAATTTGATGATTGTTCAGTAACCTCAACTTTGTCTTAATTTGGGTTTGTTACAGGAACAATGCATGAAATTTAAAAATTGAATTTTTAAGCTCTTTCTATACATACATTTTATCGCAAGTTAGATAATTTAGAAAGCAATGAAAAAACAAAGAAAATCACATAAATAATATGGGGAAAAACGATCAAAAAAACTCATCAGTAAAAATTCTTTTGAATATTATTATAATTGTAATAACAAAGCAGCCTGGTTGAAAACGGCCTAATATTTTTCAAGATACTTTTGATTTTAGATGAAAATAATAGTTTCATTTCCAGTTATGTATTCATATTGTCTCCTCTGCTTGTATTTATTTAAGTTTAACTTGTGTTGCATAATAGTTATCATAATGTTAGAAAGCTATATTTTTATCATATTATTTTTAAAACGCATTTATTCTTTTTTTATTTAATTCACTGAAGATAGTGTAGACATTCTCACAAATTGTGTAACTAATCAACTAAAAGTTTAACATTATTTCTCCGTTATGCGGTACGACTTTTAGTGCTTGACTACTAGAGAAATGATTAATGTGAAATCGACTGTCAGTGAAATGGACATTAATTTACAACTAGAGATTGTACGATTAGCCTCTAATGATAGCTCACAAGATTTGGAACTTCTTTGAGTGAAGATATTTTAGAACATTGAATCGGCACTTATGGAATATGCATGCATAGCTAACAGCTATCTTTAAAATGTCCGCATAATTTTGAATACTATTACAAAAGTATCAAAAGTTGAAGAGATTTGTCATATTGCTATAAAACTCTTTTGAAATAAAACTTTGGTTGAATGAGCTTTGTATTTTTTATTTATTTTTTTATTATTTTTTATTTATTATATAATTAAGATATTCACTCAGCAATAAAACAATATATTTTCATGACACCAATCAATCACATTATTGCATATATAAATAATATTGATATACTGCATTTTTATTACTTATTAACAATCTGATGTTTTTAATCACATATCAATTACTTTATATTTCATCCATTTATTATGTATTTTTATTTATTCTTTTTGATTAATCAATTTAATAAATTCGTTCTTTTTGTTTAATTATTGTTTTATTATTTACTATTAATTAATACATAAATAAATAAATAAATAAATAAATGAATAAATAAATAAGTAAATAAATAAATACATAAATTAATTAATTAATTATTTTTTTTATTCATTCATATAGTTATTTACTAAACTATTTTATTCATCCCTTTATTTATTTGTTTATTTGATACTAATTTGAAAAAAATAAGTAAAACTTAAAAATCTTCCTATCATTAAATGCTAAATTAAATGCTAGACATGTATTTTACGAGTAAATGACATGTTCATTTTTTTAAAGAAAGCAAAGATGATTATCTTTCACCTATTTCCCACTTCAAACAAATTTTCCTTGCCCATACTGAAGTAATGGGTAATTTGGAAACACATCCCGGTAAATATAACAGTTATATTGTTAAATCGCAAAATGTTTTATGATATTTTCGTTAAGATTTCTAAGCATAGTATTAAAATGAGAAAAAAATGAATGTCAGTTATCTTTTAGTATAATTTATACTAAAAGATAACTGACATTAAATTTTTTTTTCTCATTTTAATAACATCCGGGCAAATAAACATAATGTTTTTTAATGAAATAAAAAATGATTTAATGTCAGTATTTAATATTTATATGAACTGTAAAGTTTCATTCTTCTTCTTCTTCTTCTTCTTATTATTATTATTATTAATAAATTACTATTATAATTAGTATAATTATAAGTATTATTAAAATGTAAATAATGATTACATTGTAGTTAAAAGAATAAGCATTTTGTATAGATAAGAAGTTAATTGACAATAATATGATACTACTAGATTAAAAATGAAAAAATAATAATATCAGTTTTAGGTAGCTTTTAACTGTTTTTTTTTTCTTATTTATGTTGTTTATTTACTATATATTTTCATTATGACAGTATGGTGTATGATGGAAAATTCTAATTAAAGAAACGAATTGTCCCATAAAACCAAATGTTTGCGTTATTTTACTACACACCATTTTGTCATTGATCATATCTTCTTCATTGAAACAGGTGTAAACCATATATCATGAAAGTATTTTCTACTACATATTTAATGACAATTAAAAGCACAGACAATACTTACGCATGAGGAATATGGAGAAAAACGTTTCATGTATATTCATTTTATTTAACAGTATTAGACAATTTGAAGGCACTTATACTGATTCCGGAGAATAAACTGCAAAAATGTCAGCATTACTTACCCATTTAAAAGTATAAGAAATATATACTTCTATGTATACATGTATTCATCAAATAAGTCCGAACATTATCTTTAGAAAATAAACCAATATAAAAAGATAGAGGACTATTATCTGAAAAACGGACAGATACAATGCGTTTCGTCTGAGGTTTAAAAGATAGGAGAATTGTTCCTCTATGTCAGCCAACACTCCATTTCTCTCTATCTGCATGTAAATTTGTTGCTGAAAAAGTGCCTGTAGGTCGACCCCCGGAAAAAGGACATCTGGAATTTCCTTTTTTATGCTGGAACGCATTGTACTATTTATTTGAAGTCACCAAATGAATTATTGGGAAGGAAAAAAAAATGTAGCATACAAAGAAAAATGGTTTAAATATGGTTGATATTAATAGTTATAAAATTGTTTGACGATAAAATGTTTTCAATTGTGTTTTAGTAATAAAAACAGTAAATATTGTAAACAACTGAACTTATTGTTTAATATTTGAAAGGTTTTAAACACAGAAAAAAATCTTTTATCAATTGCTTTTCAGTAAAAATGCTTTCTGGATTGATGTTTCAAAGCCTTATAAACTCCTCCGGATGTTTCGAAATTTATAATTTCATCATTTTCATGTATAAATGTTCGGCACAGAGACACGTGGACGGTTAAATTCCATTTCCACTACCAATCCATGAACAGGCTCAATCAAACCGAGTCTGCAACATTTTCAATTTTGTTATTTGGGCGTTCGTAATGGATTCTTGTTTTTTCTATTCTGTATGGTTTATGTAAATTCTTTCTTGAAAATTTCGTTGAAAAGGCAAAGAAATGGCAGATGCAGCGATTTTCTACTTCCAAAGGACATTATATGTTAGTTATTTACATTCAATAGAGTTTTAACAGCATTGCCATTTCTCTCAAATAATCATGCTATTTCTTTGTCGTAATATTTAATATACTGATTTAAGATTAAGGTATTTGTGTTGTTTTTAGAACGAAATGGTTGTTTACTTAATCGTCCATATTTTAGTAATGATATACAGTCTGTTGTAGTGACTACTTTTTTTCAAATCATCGATACAGGGTGTGTAGAGAAAGATTTTAAAGGGACGTCTGATGGCAGCAGAGTCAATTTAGTACCAGACACAAAACTTAAAACTGTCAGTGATTATAAAAAAATTGATTCACATCATTGTCGTAGAAATAGTAAAAGGCAATATATTGTTTCTTCTTAAAGTCTTAAAAAAGATGTATGCTCTTTGTGGTAATTTCCATGGATTTTAAAATAATAATTTCGTCGGTTTAATTACGGATATTAATTTTCTAATGACATATAGTCTTTAAGTTATGTTGTATCTGCCTCTTGATCGGTATATTCGGTAAATGAATAACACTCTAAATAAACAAACATAAGATGAAATTGTTAATTTACAAAAAGGATTATTGCGTTTCATTGATATATATTGTAACAAGTCTTATTGTAATATATTTATATTTGTTTGCAAAACTCAAAAATACATATGACAGGGTAAGTTCAATTATAAATAAATATAACATTTTATATAACAGATGAGTAATGATTCAAAAGCTTTTGTACCCTAGTTAGAAACCTCATAAATGGTTAAATTTCTTGTAAAAAGTTATAACATGAATGTGCTGTTATGGACGAAATATTGGCAAATTTGATAACATTTGATTAAATACATCTCTAATTAAGATATTAATGGCAACCGATATATTCTATACAATTGATTAAAAATATTGTAATGAACTTAGATAAAAATCGAAGAATATCTGTATAATTTTATAAGCTGGTATTTTTAGCACGTTTGAGATATATTTGTTTATCAAGATTCCTATCATTTACAGAAAGAAAGTGATAAGACTTCAACTTGGCAAACTATTCCCGAAAACACGACAGTAGTTACAGCTTATATAGATATAGGCCCTTTTTCAAAAGGATATCTTCATAGGAAAAGGTCGACAACATTCTATTTTGAAAGAGCCAAAGCTTTTAAATTCTTGTTAAATTCATTAATAGTATTCACAAATTCAAATATATTTAAACATTATATGCTTGAATTACGTCGAGACCTTCTGTCTGTTACAAAAGTGTTTCTTATTGATTCAATGTCGATAAGGTCATTCCAATATATAAAACAAATTCAAGAAATTTTTCTGCTACATTCATACCCAAAATACTATCCCCATACAACAAATCCTATGTATACATGTGTAACCCATGCCAAATTCGACTTTCTTTTGAATGCAACGACAGAAAACACATTCAAATCAAAATATTTCATGTGGTTAGATGTTGGATATTATTCAAGTAAAACATCTTTAAAAATGTTTTATTTATCCAAACCGCCATCATTTGATGAAACTAAAATAGCGGCTGACCAAGTTGTTTCAAATCTTACTCAAGCGCTTGAATTAGATCCAAACACAATTTTCAAAAAGAAAATGAGCATTGTAGCGGCTGGTCTATTATATGGAGAGAGAAGTCGTATAATCTATTTTTCAAAACTGTATCAACGGGGGTTTCGGTACTTTTTGTCACAAAATTTAACTAATTCAGAGCAACAGGTCATATATGCAATTTACTGTGATAAAGGCAGCCGTATACTAAAACCGGCTGTCGAGTTACAATATTACAGGGCGCCAGGTGCTCCTTATTATCACTTCCTTGGTACTAGACTTATGAAAGTTAGCTCACTTTCGTAATTGAAAACGACGTTGGAAAAGGAAATGACATTTAAAAACTTGTACTTTTAGACAAAGAAAATAGAGTTGTATGTTTTGTTGAGTTCTTTCATGTATCAAATGTTCGAAACAGATAACGACCTTAACAAAAACAAATGAGTGAAAAACAAACAATGAAGAAAAAGGCAAAAACAACAAAGAACGGATGTAAATGAAATCAGATAAATAGTTGTCGAATGTTATAAAATAAACTTAAGTCAATATTACATTACTGCACAGTTACATAACGCATTATGTATTCCTATATACCTGCAAACATGTATTTTTGTTAGTCATGTATTGTTGAACTTTATTTTAATAATCACTTATGTTATTTTTGTTGTTGTTTTTTTTATTATTTTTTTTCTCTTATTACAAAAGATATTATTAGTTAAGAAGTTCCAAAACTTCAAATAAACATTCTATGAGTCATAAAGAAAAAGAAAGAAGATATACAATAAATAAATTTGGGATGTGCAAGTCATTTCAAATGTGTATTTTGTAATTGTTTAAAAATGTATTTTGTGTAATTGTTTATACACTCTTAACTGCTGTTTTATCATAAAACAAACATTTTATCTGTATTTTTACCATTTAAACTGCTTATTTGTAAATTTTCATTAGATATAGGTTTTATTACATTGATTTGTAAAGGTACAGATAAGGGTTCAGAAAAAGGAATTTACTTTGTATATAATATTAAGATTATTATGCATAATAGGGCTACATATATGTAATTTCTATGTGTTTAAGTTATAGGCTTAATTCTAATGCAATTTCTAAACTATTATCGTAATAATAGAATTAAAAAAAATAACAATCTTAATGTTGTTAAGAGATAGGCTGTCTTACAAAATATTATTGATTCTGTTCTTATGTGTCACTGACAGGTGACAGATTTGCCAGGTAAAATCAAATGCGATAGGTGATAATTTAGATGTTTTCTTTACTTGTAGAGTGAAAAGACACCCAACTTGTATTTCACGGCTGTTAAGTTCTAGTTCTCAGAATCTAAACATTAAATAGAGAAATAGAGAAAAAAGTATCATTAAAGAATGCCCAAAATAGTAAAAGTGAAAATGTTACAGGTTTGGTTTGATCGACGCTGTTCATGAACAGTACGTACTAGAAGGTGCAACCCGTCCAGATTTCTGGAACCTTCTTAAGCAGGATTCAACATTCAACAAGAACTGTTCACATTTTGAATTTTGAAACAACTGCAGATTCTTGAAATTTTAGTACATCATTTTTGGATCTTCATATTGCTATCAACAGCAATTCTATACACACGAAAATCTATTAAAATTGAGATAACTTTGACTTTTGTATAGTTAATAATCCACATTAAGATGGAGACGTACCGCATTGCAACATCTCTATGGGGTTTATGTTTCTCAGGTAATTAAAATTCGGTAGAGCTTGTAGCACGTAAAGGATTTCAACGGGAAGCGGAATATTTTTTTATTACCAGCAAGCTTCTCAAACAGGGATAACGCTATATAAGTTACGGAAATATTTTACTAAATTTTACAATCGTAACTTTGATTAAATTTCTTAAATTCAATAGTGAAATTTAAAAACTTTTCTGCAACAAGGGATTAGCCAGCCTGCTTTTTATGGCGATGTGATTTACAAACTTCGTAAAATTTTGGGTCATGGTAATTTTTCTGCAGTTTTTTTACTAAAATCATGAAACGTTAATGACCCTACTATATTAGGACATAATACATGTTAAGTGTTTCAACCCTTTTACAGTTGGACAAAACGCTTTCCTCTTTTGATTATATATGACGGACCAAGTGGGCGACACTATGCTGGATAGTTCTTAAAGCCCTTTGGGACTGAATTGTCTTAATGTTCGTCTTTTGCCTTGCTTCGTCGGGCCATTCTAGGTTGTCTAAATCATCCAATGTAAGTTTTCATCTTTCTTGATTTATCTAGTACTATTATTCCGTGAGCGAACCCAATAAAGCTTTGTTTTGTGAAGAAAAACATTTTCAAGGTAAAGTTTATCCTGGAAAATAGTATGTCCAAGGCAAAACAAGGATATCACAATTCAAAATCTTTAATTTATAAAAACCAATGACAAAAGGAGGTTTTAAATACGGATTCATATCTATTGTAATTTAATTTTTAAATTTACACAAACTGTTTTCAACATAATGTTAGGCATCATGAACTAAGAATAATTTTGGTTTGATCGGGAATGCAAGAGCCCCATCGGTCTTTATCTTGATGTTTTAGGGTAACCCTAGGTTGTACGAAGACACTGATTAAATATTTGGGTATTCTGGTGCACGACAATTTATCAAATTATAGAACATTATCAGCCTGTAAACTCATCATCTCTTCCAGCTATGACGAACTCATTTCCTTTCGATTTATCGTTGCACAAATAATTGCACAATGTTGTATTCAGAAAGGGATAGGTTTGTTTGGGTAGTGTGAATGTATGGAGAGGGATTAAGGGGGATCGAAAGACAGAGATTGTGGTTTTGCGCGGCAACCATACAGCACAGGAGGATGTTCACATTCAGGCAAACACATTATACACTTTTCCATTATGCCGGCTCCATCTTTCTTGTGGTAACTTTTCAACAAAAAATTGTCTTGGGGAACCCAAATGATTACCCTCGGGAAGGCATTAAATCACAACAAAATAACATAAGAATTGCAGACTCGGTTTGATTGAGTCTGTACATGAGGGATAATGAATAAGTGCAACATTCCAAGACAATACACTGCTTGTTTAACCGTAAATTTTCTAGCTAGCAACCATGTTTACGTCTTGCCCTTGTCCTCTGTCTCCCCGGATGTGAATTTTATTAAACATATATTGAGATAAACTTGGAGAATGCTGAGGACGAATCACCGGATAGACAATGTTAATTACCTCGCAGGGGCACTGCAGCTGAAATGGCTGACCTTTCCCAACGTCTTAATCATTTGTTTCATTCAT